CGGCCACTTGTCAAACTGTGCTTCCTTCCAAAAGCACAATAGATAATTCTATACATATTTTCCTTCTGTATATTAAGGGTCTTAACTTCCCGTTTAAATATTGTACCCAAGTACTTCTCGTTTCTCTGCCTTTGCTTCTACTTCCAGATCGAAGACATCATGGCATCAAGGAAGGCATGCCCCCTGGCTCCAACGGCGGAAACGGACAACTGCCTGCAATGCCGTCTCTGCCACCGGTACCACGCCTTGCGGACGTGCTCGGCCTTCAAGGCGATGAAGCCGCCACAACGGTTGGGAGTAGCCCGCGCACAGGGTTACTGCATCAACTGCCTTGCCCTCACCCACCCTACGGGGGAGTGCGACTCGCCAGGCAGCTGCAAGACCTGCGGGCTAGCGCACCACACGCTGCTGGATGTGGCAGCCAACAACCATGCGCGCACGGGCCAACGAAAGCAGCAACCCAAGCATCGCGCACCTGCACGTAAGCGAGTAAAGACGCCCACCAACAAGGGGAGCCCGGAGCAAAAAGCGCAGAACCCGCGCAACCAGGCGCACAATACGCGCAAGTAGGCATTCGCAACCGCCGCTCAAGAAGACCGCCCGACGCACGATTGCGTCCACCCCCCAAGGCCTGCAAACGGGCAACTATCAGGGCCGCACCACTAACCGCGCCTTGGGCAACGCGATCCGCGCGCTGAAAGAACTGCAGGAGACCCTAAGCAGCGCATTCCTGCAGGGCGGGGAGGATGTTTAAGCCGCCGCTTAAAGCGCGATCCGACGGCCGTGTGCGCAATCCTTGGCCGCAGCAGTTTGGCAGTTGACCTACGTCAACTCCGAAAATGATTACCGAGCGCGCACGGCCGCCTACCATCATCGTGCCAAATTATGCGAAAGGCAGTTCAGCTATTAACGCCGGTCTACGCGCACGCGTCCTAGCGAGTCCACCGTCAAATAAATCTTATATAGCTATATACATATATATATGTAAATATATAATCATATATGATTTTGTGAATAAACTAAGAGAATTTTTATAACGTTTGAAATCAAAACCTAAGTATTTCCATTAACGGAGATCAAAGTGCGTGTGTACAAGGTGAGTGCGAAGGGACCAAGCGACCAAAATATTCATCACATGTATATGCAATTACTTCACACGTATATATTTGTGGTTAATAAAAAATAAAGGTTGATTTTTACGTTTTTTACCGTATGACTCGCTGCGTACCGTAGCGTCGCATACAAGTTCCTTAAAAGATTAAGCAAATAGTTCACTGTCACGGTACGGATAGAAACAAAAGTCGACATTTATTTTAGATACAACCAATATCTTTTCTGAATGGTTTGCGAACTGTAAGCCAAACAGTCATCAATTCTATCCCGTGTTAACGGTTTATATAAAATCTGTTCTCAGCGCTGCATGCGCTAAATAAATTTTAAAAAGTTTAAAAACTTTCCAAACTACAAAAGGTTTGTTCGGTACGTTTACCGCTCAACTCATAACTTTTTCACGGTTTTCATCTCAAGTTGCTTGCGTTCACAGATTAGATCTGCCCATATTTCTAAATAAAGCGACACGACTTCTGATTACCTAGTCTAGGGATGCTCAGCAGCTCATGTTTATTAATTTTTTTGATTCAGTAAAAAGTATATATACACATCCATTTCCTCACGTTTTTATTAATAAATTAATTTCAATACATTTATAACAACGCAAAACATATTTAATTTACCTATTCCTCACATTTTATTCAGTAAATGAATTCCATCTTAATGTAGAGTATTAGTGTATAGTATATACATACATACATATGTACCTATGCATTCGGTGTGCTTAAATTAAAAAAGCATCACTAAATACCGCACCAAGCATTGAATTCCAATTATTTTGGCTTTTTGGTTTCCCAAAAGCACTAAGTTTAGTGCAAAATGCACGACCTTGGCAACAGTGAGCAGAGCACATCAATGCTTAAACAGTGATGCCAGACCAAGTATTGAGTAAATGCGCTATGTATATTTTTCTTTTAAAGCAAAAGTTCTAATTGGCGAGGGTATTGATTTTTTGTTCTTACATAGAACACTGATAAGATTCACAAACTTATCTTAGGACTTAATTAAAATAATCAACATTATTTGTAGACGCATATATTTGTGTTCGTATGAATAGAGGCTTAGTAGCTTATGTCGGAAGACTGGCTTTAGTAAAATGTACCATTTGCTATATTCTTTAAACCACAAGGAATTTTTTATGAAACTTTATATGAATATTGACTTTACTTTTTGTACCAAGCGCTCAAATCTCTTCTAGCACCTTGATTCTTAATCCGTTTACATTTCAGTAAATGGATATACCTATATTTCATATTTGCTACAAAACGAAATTATGTATCATCTAATATATACTTTAGATTTACTTAAATAATAATTTTTAGTGGTGGGCGAGTCCGAGATGTTTAAATGATCGAGATAGTACATTCAATTCGCGTAGATTTTTGAGAACTTTTTTCGTTGAAGGTGTTACACTTTTTTTCCATACTGAAATTTGTGTACATCATTTATCATTGTCTAAGAAAAACTATAAAATAAAGCTTAATTTAAAGTATTGGAATAAAAAACAACAACGCTACACGCGCATTCATCCATATAACATAAAATGCGAACGTTCGTTATATGGAAGAAAGTGCGCAACACCGCAAACAGAAAAATTCAAAAAATCAGTGGTATTTTCTAGACACTTCAAACTTGCACCTTATTATACTAGAATGAATGGGCTACAACTACAAAAATGTTAACCCAAAACATGTCTACAAATTCTGAACAAAAACTGTGAAAATTTGATGAAACTTTGTTGATTTTTTTCATTCTTTCAAGTTTCGATTTATTTGCAAGGTTTTTGTTTGATAATGAGCTACAATTTTATAAAAAAAAATAATTAAAATTATTTAAAAAAATAAAATAAATACCGGGCGACCGTGTAATTTTGTCAAAGATGAAGACAATGATGATAAAACATTAATAGTGTATAGGTCAGTTCATATTAATGAACATAAAATGAGATCACTATCGATAAAATGGAAATCCTCAAGGGAAATTTATAATTTCAACGCATGGAATTTACATACATTTTTTTACTTTCAACCCCCGATTTGCTCAATTACTTCTATTTCTGCAGGATCGCCATTAGGTAAATTGCATTTCCAAAGAGAAAATAAATAGCGATGAGGGATATTTCAACCGCCGGTGATAAGAAATCGCAATCACCATAGCGCACATCACTAATATTAATGTTCACAATCACGTTTACATTCAAAATTACAATT